GAGCTGAATTTATGGTTTAAGTACAAAGAACATGATATTTAATAAATAAAGATACCTCACAAAACGTTAAAAAAAATGCCCCTTTGGGCATAATGTAATGTTTTTATTATTTTTCTGCTGCCATATTTTTTTATATTCGCTGTATTATTCCTTTAAAAATAATACATAGCGAAAATATTTGGTGGCAGCAGCCTGTTATTTGATAAGTGTTCTAAAAATAGATGTGATGTCGACAAAATGTGATACGGACAGAAAAGTGAGGATCGAGAATAATAGATACTCTGGTGTTAAAAACTTACCGTACTAATCCCTGAATTTCATCTAACCAACCTCCTGAAGCCAGAACGTTTAGATAAACTTCGCTGATAAACTTTTCTAGTTTTTTTTAAAAATTTAATGAAACAAATTATAAAATTTAAAAAATAAAATTATTTTTGAGTCAATTTCATCTTTATCAATAGTAAAGATTCAATTTTAGAAAATAGCAATAGCAGATATTATTTTTATTTTGAAACAAAAGAGAAATAATAGTATGATTTCTTTTATCTTTTCTTCCTTCATTTATTTTTTATGTTAGAAAAGTATTTAGCAGAATGTTTCTAAATTTAGGTACGTTTAGTATTTACGTAATCTACATTTATAATGTTTTCTAAATTTACGTTTTGCTAAAATTACGTATTTGCTGCGAAAAAGTTTATCACCTGCGTGGATTGAGAAGGAATCATTTTTCAGACTGTTGCCATTCGATATGATATAATGTCTTTAATTTATTTTTCAAATCAAATCAATTCGTTATTGATTTAAAAAACCGAGCGTTTTAAACGCAATTTTAGACATTTAAACTTCTATTGCTTTTGCTAATAATGACAACAATTAAAATTCAGTAAATGGCACAAATTAAAGTTCATTTACGAGTAATTTATATGTGCGGATGATTAATTTTATGAACATTTGTAGCTTTATAGTAATTAAAGTAACATGTTTCTAAAACTATCCATTACATACCTGGGACAGAATCATTTTCAAAGGTTTTACATTTTTAAATTTTCAATTTTTTGAAATGTTAATTTTGTTACTATCATTTGAAATTTTAGAATACGTAATCTATTTTAGTGGAATATAATCTAAAATATTCAGATTTAAGTTCTTTTAAAAACCGTAGAACAGATTAATGCGTAATTTTGAAAGAGAAATAATTTCTTCTCACTTTTCAACTAACCCAAGATGGTAAAATTAAAGTTTGAGAGTTTAAATCCCAAAATTTGAAACAAAGCGTATGAAGTCAAATAACTTATTGTACCTTTAATGGAACATCTTTCTTTTATTTTTAAATTCCAAGCCTTAGAGGCCCACCAGCGGTCGAGCGGTAAAGACGCTGAACACTGGTAGTTCGGTCTGAGGTTCGAATCCCGCGAACGGGCTGGCTGCATGGGCGTTTTCGTGGTTTTTCACATGTGTAAGGTGTATACGAGCCAGTTTCCCTTAGAAAGTCCTCCACGAAGGCATCCCTCCCTTTAGGCAGATAGCCCTCGTGTGCTTTGTCATAATTGAATATTCCAATCCAATCCAAGCCTTAGAACTGAGCAAACAAACGATTTCTCCACATAATGCATTTACAATAATTTAAACTAATTCATTCGACACTGGATACACAAAGCAACGCTTGTTTTCATTAATACGAAAGTTGATTCAAAACAATTGAATTGTAGAATTCACTTTTGAATAAGGTTTGCATTATTAATCAGTATTTAATAGGAGTAAAATATCAAAATAATTTCTTTTCGAATTTCTGCTTTCTCTAGACAGGTGATATTGGATACAACATTACGTAAATTATGTATTAGTTATGGGTGATATAGGGGAACAGTTGAAACTGTTCTAGCTGCTAGTAAATAAGGCAAGTACATAATTTAAAGTTAACAAACACATTCTAACTGGTTAAGAATGTCCTTAAAGTACCTGAATTGCATGTATTTTATTAAATTTCCAGCAGACTTTGGGTGTATGAGATTTTTTTAAAGTAGGATATATGACAGTTAATGTATGACAGATGTATGACAGTCTTGTCCGGATTCGCACATTAATAAATATTATATTAACTCCTAACATTTTTATTAAAGTAATACGTGGCTGAAAATTTTGCTAAGGGTTCTTTTAATTCTACTTTACTATAAATTCCCCCAAAAAAGTTATTTAGTAAATTATACCTTAAAAAGAAATATTTTATTTTATTTTATGACTAGGCAATATTCAGGAATAAATCATTTCAGTACTGTGTTGTGACTTATCTCACTTGTCTGACAGTAACATCATAACAGGCTCATGAAATTCAGCCCCCCATGCCGCAAAGACGCTATACATTTACAAATATCCATGCCTTCTTCGGAATTCGAACTCGGGCGCTTCGATACTGCAGTAGTCTCGCCTAACCACTATACCGTCTGGGCGGCATTTCAGGCGTGTTTAAAGCAGTACTGAAATATTTCAAGGAGATATTTGAAGCATCTCGTCTGCTTTGTCTAATAAAATAAATAATCCGTAGTGCGAGTTTCACCATCCGACCCAAACTATGACAATAGAGACTACAATGCTGAATTTAATAATCATTAACGTCTACAGATTGCTGTAGACCTTGCATTGCTGTTGTGCCTGATGCAATTGTATTTATTTTTTATCCAAAAGATATTTATCAAGGAAAAATATGAGCATACCCTGGTAAAACAGAAAATATTAAAACATGTTTAAAAAATATATGAAGTGTCCATGCATTTATACACAATGGCCTCATAGATGTATTAGAGACTTCGAAAAATGTATTCTAAATACTCATGAGAAAATATTGCATTAATTCCTTGTTTTCTCCCATAGCACTCACGGAAAAAAACTCCCTCAAAATGTATATGATTGCCCACGAGAGGCTGAGTGGTAATAGAGACTGAACACTAGTAGTTCGGTCCAAGATTCGAAGTTCGGGAACGGGCTGGCTGCATGGTCGTTTTCGTGGTTTTACCCATGTGTAATGTTTGTAATGTATTTTGCAGTGGTTGACAAAACAGGCAATCCTCTTACTAGAACATAAATTTTATTTCTAGTCCACGGAGATAAATAATTTGAAGAAAATCTTTAGCGGCAAAACTTTTATACTACTACTAGCTGGTAAAAACTTCAGAATTCTAATATTAAAACAATTTCTTCTGTTGCTGAGCAACGGTTACATAATACAAATATGGCGTTGCCACTTCAACAATAAATATAGTTATTTAATAAATAACAAAATATTACACAGTTTTCCTTAGAAAATACTCCACGAAAGCATCCCTCTCTTCCGTGTAATGCTCCTAAGAGCGGAGTACTTAAATATATATATATAATTTATTTACTAAATAATATTGATTATATTATCTCCTAAGTTTATTTAGAGTATAATTATCTTAAAAGAGTGAATCCATACTTAGTAAGTTCTATTCTGAAAGATGTTTTGAAGTAACTTGAATGTAAATTGTTAAAAATGTTAACGGGGCCTGGAACTAATCATGACTAACAAAATTTCACTTGTAAAAAGAATAAATTAAAGGCAAGAATTAAATTAAATGCATGTAAACATTTCATTGATAATAATATATATTTATTTATTAAATTATTTCCTAAATAGTATTGATTAATTGATTATATTATCTCCTAAGTTTAATTAAAGTAGAATTATTTTAAAAGAGTGAATCCATACTGGTAAGTTATATTTCGAAAGATGTTTTGAAGTAATTTGAAAGCAAAATGTTAATAATGTTTTAACGGGGACTGGAGTTAAATCATCATGAAGAATAAAATTTCAATTGTAAAAGGAAAATTAAAAACATGTAATCATTGTCATTGATCGGAAATTAAGTTGACTTTTCAAGGGGAACAAACCAACTCCCGTTCAACGAACAATAATTGATAAAAATACGTAAATACGAAGGTGTTTCGTCTTTACTCGAGTTATAAGTTAAAGCCAAACCGGCAATTCTAGTCAAGGCCAAATATCTTCGCGAATAGAAGGGATTATGATCCAAATGCTTATACTCAAAGAACTTATTCTTATGAAGCATTTTAGTCAATTCAATTTGAAGTAAAAAGCAAAATACTGTAGAGAAATCCGATATAACCCGAGTAACCGTCCCCGACACCTTCATGTTTATGCATTTGAGTTCTATATTATTTGTAAAAATTAAACATTGGAAATTGTTCATTATGAAATCGAATTCAAAGTAAAGTTGAAATAAACATAGAAGATTACAAAATAAGATAAATAATGCAAAGTTTGTAAAAACAAATCAAAGACAATATAAAAATAATAAAAAAATAATATATAATAAGAACAGTGAATGTACATGAAGATATAAAGGCCGAAAATATATATTTATTAAGTGTATATATATATATATCTATATATGAGTTCAAAAAATAGTTTGCTCACGAATAAGAGAAACACACTAAAGTTTTCTTTAGAGAGAAGCAACGTGTAAGTCCACGTAAAAATTACTGCTGTAATTAATTTATTATATCTATTTCCGTGTATCATTTCTAAATGAATTAAAAAATATGGCAAATGAATGCAGGTTTTCTCCCGTAAGAATAAAATTAATCGATTATATACGGCATAGCAATATTAAATAAAAAAATTAACATCTCCAAAATTATGTACAATTGCGAATGTAAACAAATTGAAGCACTCTCAAATTGTAGAAGTTACACAAACAAAAATATGATTATATGTATTATTCTGGACATTTTTTTAGTTACGGTCTACTCAGCGATCAGCACTTTAGATTTAGATCAGTACTTTTTTAGATCAACACTTTCAGCGATCACAACTTATTTAAATTTGGCCTACCTTAAAAAAATTTCAAATATGGAAATTATGAAGAGCATTCGTCTTTTGATACCTGTGCATATTTACATTACGTGTTACTTCTATTTTCATCTCTATTTCTTTATTTATTCTTCTCCCTTCTCCTTTTCAGAAGAAATTGTCAGGTAACTTCCCATTTAGGCAGAAAAGTCATTTGTGTCCTCTGCTTGCTCCAGGAAATTGCGCTGTCCAGTTTCAAATCATCTATTTATCCTCTCGTCCCCTGCCCTGACATGGGAATTCTTCTGCACCTTATATCTTTCATAGCATGTCTTCAGACGGCCTACCTGTATCCTCTACAGGAAGATGTCAATCCCGCCTTCGACAGTTACAGAATGAGGCTGACAAAAAAAGATACCTTTTATCCATTTAAGGAGTCTTTACTCTCATCTTTGAGCTTTTTGGATAATCCTAGAGGTAACGTTTTGCTATTCATATTTTTATGAACTTTTCCAACTGGCTTTTATCGTTTTATATAAAAATAACTTACTCGGCTAGATTCAATGTTAAAAATTTTACTTTATTAATACCTTCTACTTCACTTGTTCGGGTCATGTTGTTAATAACATGCAAGTTGTAGGTTTGCTATGCGCGTACGGTAATATCACGCACCGTAAAAGGTAAAACATTCGTAAAACCTCAAAACACCATAGCGGACCGTTACAGCATTGTCAAATCACGCAATTAGGCTTCAGACATCCAGGTATGTCTTTCATTTACGGTAACGTAAATGAAATATGACATCACCTAACAACTGAGGCCCACCAGCGGTCGAGCAGTACAGTCGCTGAACACTAGTAGCTCGGTCCGAGGTTAAAATCCCGCGAACGGACTGGCTGCATCGGCGTTTTGCATATTTTCCCCATATGTAACGTGTATACAAGCCAGTTCCCTTAGAAAGTCCTCCACGAAGGCATCCCTTCCCTCAGACAAGTAGCCCTCGGGTCCTTGCAGTAAACACATAAACCAAGCGAAACGTAACAAGTGGTGACTGAACCACTACATTAGCACGAATAGAAAGTGGAAGTATTTACCTGATATTTTAATACTTAGAGAGACTGGATTCTTAAAGACCAGCGGGCATTACTCGTAATAGTAGGAAAAGGGAATATGGAGAAAATCTTTTGTGACGTCAACAGCATTATGAGCAGCTTGGCTGGGATAGAGCTTAGTAACTCTGACTGCTGTACTGAAGGGCCTGGGTTCGAATCCCAGAAAATTCACGGATGTTTGTAAATATGTTTGCGGCATGGAGGCACTTGAAATATACGGCGAGACGAAATTCCTCTCGTGAGGTTGATGGTAGGGGAAAAGGCACGGGAGACCCTCAGGTCCGTTCACATAGAGAGTTCCAAAAATGTTTCATACAGTGAATTCTTCCCAGTGAATTCAGATTCTGAAACACAGTGAAAGACCGGCAGGCATTAGTAAAAAGATGAAAATCTTTTATCACTTAACAATTTTATGAGCAACTCAACTGGGATAGTGCTTAGTGACTCTGACTGCCGTACCCAAGGGCTCAGACTTGAATCCCGGAAAAGGCACGGATGTTTGTAAATATATAGTATCTATGCGGCGTGGAGGTACTCGAAATGTGCGGCGAGCCGAAAGTCATTTCAAGAGGTTGGTGGTAGATGAAGAGGGATCGGAGACTCTCTGACCTGTCCTTCTGGAGTGCTATTCTTCAAAATTTGAGGCGGAACTGAACAAAGCCATACTGTCACCTCTATAATGCCCAAAGATCATGCCAATGACAGGAGCAATCTTGCCTACTTACCACGATGAATTCCGTGGGCTTGTTCAGTTCTAATATCAGACAAACGAGTTAGTCACTACAACAACAATTTTATGAGAGGACCTTTGGAGACAGCCACGTTGGTAAGAAGTTCTATATATGCCAATGAGATATAAAAGAGGAGCGAGAGTAAGTATGGTATTAATCAGATAATTATTACAGTGGATGGACAAAAATATGGAAACACCTTATGAAGTGCATGTTTGAAAAGAAAGATTGATTTTAATGAAATATAAAGGTGGCGCTGGCGTTTTTGACTACTGACGCCACCTATACAACTTCGTAAATGTGCTAAACAGTTCAGTTGTTGTCGGAGTACTGTTATGTGAGGTTGTCATTTCATTATGTCAGAGTTAACAGACTTCGAACGTGGGCAAATTGTTGGAGCACGTATGGTAGGTGCTTCCGTAAGCAAGGTAGCCGAGGTGTTTAGTGTTTCAAGAGGTACTGTATCGAAGATTTATTCCGCATATTTGAAAAGCGGAAAAAACATCATCTGCTAAATCACAGCGCGGACGAAAGTGTGTCCTGAGTGATCGTGACAGACGATCATTAAGGGCAATTGTGACGAAAAATAAGAAGACCACAGCTGCAAAAGTTACTGCTGAAATGAATGTTGTGTTACCGAACCCTGTGAGTACCAAAACAATTAGAAGGGAGCTTCATAAACAGGGAATTGCTGGCCGTGCTGCAATTGAGAAGCCACTCATCAGTGATGCTAATGCCCGTAACAGGAAAAGGTGGTGTTTAAGTCATAAAGCCTGGACTATAGAGCAGTGGAAGCGAGTAATATGGTCTGACGAGTCTTCTTTCACATTGTTTCCCACTTCTGGCCGAGTTTACGTCTGGAGAACGCCATCTCAAGCCTATAATACAGACTGCTTGTTGCCAAGAGTGAAACATGGCGGGGGTTCTGTTATGGTTTGGGCAGCCATATCGTGGTTCTCTGCTAGCCCCATGATAACTGTGTCAGGGCACATGACTGCCAAGACTTATGTGAACATTTTGGCCGATCAAGTTCATCCCATGGTACAAACTTTGTTCCCCGATGGTGATGGTGTCTTCCAAGACGACAAAGCCCCTGTTCACACACAGCTCACATTGTCCAGGACTGGTTTTCTGAGCACGAGGATGAGTTGTCCCATCTCCCCTGGCCACCACAGTCACCAGACCTGAATATTATCGAACCTTTGTGGTCTACATTGGAACGGAAAGTGCGTTCTCGTTATCCACCGCCAACATCGTTATCTGAACTTGCCACCGTTTTGCAGGAAGAATGGTATAATATTCCCTTGGCAAACATACAGGAACTGTATTTATCCATTCCGAGAAGACTGCAAGCTGTTTTGGATGCCAACGGGTTTCCTACACCATATTAAGCAAAGAAACATGTTTTTTTAAAGGTGTTTCCATATTTTTGTCCAACCCCTGTATTTTCAATTTTTAAAAAATTTAGTAACAATTTAAAAAATTTTTAATTCTAAAAATTTTTTTTAAAGCCAACAATCCAATTTACATATTTTTCTAAATAAAGGCGGTAAGGATCAAAATTCAAATGCATTGGATTCACTCAATAAGGAGCACAGTTTTTCAGAGCAATTCTTCGCATTGAGACATAAGGTTTGAACAATGATATACAATCAAATTCACATGGCTATCAAGATTTTTAAGGTTTTTCAACATAAACAACCTTATACACAAAGATAACTAGAACTAGATAACCACAGCTTATTTTATTATTGGTCAGCTTTTAGTATAGGATTTGAAAGTATTTAATACTGCAATGCATAAACTTATAGAATTTCATATTCTTTGGTAGCGTAAACTGGTATCAAATTCCTAACAGACTTCGAGAGAATTATCGCTGCGTCTGAATGTAACAACAGTCTTGGAAAAATCTTAAGCCAAACCATTTCATAAAAATCAGGATTTGAACATAAGGCACGACTTGTGTTTACAGACAGCCACCACTTGGGGCGATGTAACTTAGCCAGTTAACTGTGGCGCCCTCGTTTAAGAGTGCGCACCGTTTTGTGTCGCCAGAATCGAGCCAAGACGAGTATATTCGTCAATCACAGAGTAAGTTGCGGTTGTAAGATATTGGATAAAAAAAATGGGTTTATTTTATAAAATTGAAAATTTTATTACTAGTATTTACTTATTTGGTTAACATAAGCGTATATTACATACATATTAAACTAAAAACGCAATAATATTATACATATAAAAGTAAGAACTTAAATTCCTGCTGTGGAGTGATATTCAGCGAAATAGGGTGCTATACACAATGGAACTTTGCAAATCGAACACCAGTAACGCGATTCCTTCCTGATCTTACGTTTGTAGCAATGCGAACACCTTCGCGTAGGGTTTTTTTTTTTTTTTCCGATGTTCCGTTCCCACCTAATTGGCTTATATTAGGCCTAAATGGCCGAGTTTGTGTCGATTTATTTCTTTCAATTGGATACGTCGCAAAAGTGTCTTCAATAAATTCGAGCAAAAAGTTCATAATGTTCCATTATTTTTTTATATAATAGGAATGCATTCAGACACATAATGTCTAAGAAATGGAGAAATATCTTTTGTAGTACTTTTTGAGTCGTTTTCTTGCTGTGGAGTACGCTATGATAATTCCATCGCTCATATCCACTCCACCCATTTTTTTTATTATAATCAATCACTAGCTCCGGCTTCTTTGTTATTATTTTCATTTTCTCTGTTTCTATTGCGTTGCTTTATACGCGCGTTGCTTACACTGCTTTATACGCATGACGAGTATACTCGTCAATACACAAAATCGTGCCACTTCTCCATGACAAGTATACTCGTCAATCACAGTTAACTGCTTAAAGCAATAGTCAGCTTCAAATTAAAAACTAAGTCCAGTAGCCAAAAGCTACACAATTGATTTAACGTGAAGTTGGATCAATACTTTTCACTATCGTAATAATTTAAATACCGGCAGCTATAATGAAAAGCCGAAAAATCATAATCTCTCAGCAGAGCTAGTGAAACCTAGTAGCATGGCCTCGAGAGGCAAAAGCAAGCTCTATCTTACACCCCGAAAAATCCCTCTTAAATACTCTCAAAGCTGATTTGCATTCTGATAAGGAAACGGAAAGGAGAAATGATGGTAAAGATTTAAATCATAATAACTGGTAAATTCACATAAAGATGATAATAACTGGTTAGATTAACATAAAAGAACTTTACAAAATTTGAAATCCATACAGAATTCTGATAAAGAAAGTAGAATAAACTCGTGCATAATTTATAAGTTTAAGAAATATAACAAAATTGTGATTTTGTATAAAATAGCAATTAACGAAGAATTATATTAAACTATTATTGAAATTAAAGTTAAAAATCGAGTTAAATTTATTAATGAACATTTCAGTACATATTAATGATTAAAACAAAAAAATCTCATGAGGACTCACCATGACTTCCTTGTATAGCCTTATTAAATTATCCTCATTTTTTGCTGAATTTCGTGTAAACTTATTTCCTCCAGTCTTCATTAGAGATATATTTCTTAATCAATTAATTCAGTTCTCGCTTCTCGACAAAGCAAAAATACATAAAAACTCAAAACATCTTTATTAAAAATTGTAAGATACAG